GAACGCACGAACGCACGAATAAACGCAGGTGGCCTCGCACGCATTTACACGAAGGCGCAAACACATGCAGACATACATACACTCGCACACGCAACGGGCACGGCCCGCGCGCGGCGCGCACTACACACACACAGCACACACACGCACGCACTGGCACACATACACACACACCGACACACCCGCACGACACGCACCACGCCACGCACGCACGCACGGCACGGAGCACGCACACATACACCACACACACACACACACACACACACACACACACACACACACACACACACACACACACACACACACACACACACACACACATATACAGACACAAGCGCGTACACACACGCATGCAGGCACAGACATGCAGGCGAGCGCGCGTGCACACACGCAAATACAAGCGCGAACTCACACGTACACGCACACACGCACACGAACATCAACTCGTCTTTCCCGAGGCCATGCACGCAAAGCCAGTATTCTAGCTAGTAAAACTGACGCATGCGTCATCATGCAAGTAGAGTGAAAGCAGAGGATTTCTGTGCAAGCACTTGCGCACACACGCAGACGACACAACGTTTACTTTTGGTGGGGATGTATTATAAACGCCGTCTGATATTCGCATTTTAAACTGCTCAAGGCGACGGGCTGGTTATACTAAAGATTTTAAAACAGTACGCGGATTTTTATGTTTCACGTTTTGATGGATCGATAGCGGACGCAAAATTGCTGAGTGTGGTTATAATGATTGCGTGCATGATCGGTGTTATGGCCGTTCTACGTCACTGCGACGTCACAGTTGCATTAGTGATTGCTTCAAAAGAAGTGGAGTATTTCGGGCTATTCCGACTTTGCCAAATATTGACGGTTTTTGTTGTGTGCCTAAGCGTGTTCACGAATCCTAATCTAATTAGATTTGGGCGTAGCTGAGTGGGGGAGGGGGGTGATTGGATGATATTGCCTGAAATTCCAGACATTTTCTGGCCGAGATGGCCGAGTCACACAGCCTTTATGTAATATTTAAACAAAACCACCGACGATCTTTTCATCGAGACTCAGGCATCAGCACTCATATTTCTGTAAAATCTCAAAATCTCAGACAAATTCGCCTGACCGCGTATAGCAATTGGATTCCAATAGTAAAAACAACGGTCTGTTTACACTAGGGCTCGCAAGCATTTGCAAGAACCTATCGGGTCTTGAGCATTGGACACACTCGGTCACTTTGAAATAACGCCAAATAACTTGTTATTGTTCTACATGCATGCATACAATGGTCGACGCTAAATGTATTGTTTTAGGCGGAATCTAAACTACGTGCAAGAAATGCGCATCTGTGCAGTTTTTAAAACCGTTTACCTTAGAAAAAGAAGTACGAAGCATTTCGCCTCTATCAGCGAAGAGACGACGAAACAGAAATATTGGTCTGTACTTGCTGTTTTTACGTGATTTTCTTTAGATAACGGCAAGAAAATTACTAACGTTTGTTTACACGGAACATCTCTCCGATTTTATCGAGTCGTGTCCGATTTCAAATATTTCCATTCGTCAGAAGCAAAGCTCGGCTGTTTAGAATAAGAATTAAATGCATATCGCAATGACAGAAAGAAAGTTTTGAATATAGTTTTACAGAATAGGTCTACTGATATGAATTCCACTACTACTTTGAATTCGATCAGAAAATGATAGGATGTGCTAACCAACGATAGACGAACGACGTTCTAATTTGTAGGGACATCCAATATGACGTACTTTTATAATAACCACTACTGTAAGTAAAAAATGTTACAGTAATATCTATGTATTTTCTATACATATATTGTATTATGTAGCGGTAATTAGTTTAGCCGTGAATCGAGGTATGAAAATAAATCGAATATCATTGTTGGCCACTCGGATGCGGCCAATCCCGAGTCAGATGATAATCAGCGGAATACGCGCATAACAATAAAATCAAAGCACGAACTTCAGTCGATTTTCTTATTTTCTAACATTCTAAATACGAGCACATCCATTCACGTCACGTTTCAAAGTAGATTATCACGATGTGAAAAGGGGCAACCAGTAAACTAAACGGCCAATGCTCATAGACCGGAAGACTGAAGGGTAACGTCACATTGCCAAGCGACCAGTGATCGGGTGAGGCGAGTTCATTTGGGTCTGTCAGCTGAACGCGCTACAAAAACATACGCGCAAGCAAAGCGCAAAATATCCTTCAGTATATTTGCATGTTCGTAACGAAATAGGAGCGAGCACAAACGAGCCGTTAAAGCACACGAAACACGAATGTAGTTTAACTATATAAACAAAGTGTAAAACGAGCGTTCGAAATGACGCGTGTATCCTGTGTGTGCGTCCTTGTACAGTTATACCAGGGAGTCTATAATAGGCCTATTATAGACTCCCTGGTTATACTTAGTTGTGCTGATAGGGTCTATGTCCCCCAGGGTACTATCGGAGGGTACCCTGCGTACGGTTCGATATATCGGAAAGTACCTCGGGGTACTATATGTCGCTGCATACCCTGCATTGTCCCGCCGTACCCTGACTTTCAGCCAACTGATGTCGTAATACATACACTCTGTCAAGTTACCACATTACATAGAAGAAATCTCAAAACATCGCAATCCAATAAAAATGTATGCTATGTTTGACTATATTTTTATTTTTCCTTTTTTTTAAACGAAGAGCTAGCTTTTATATTTTAGTTTTACATCATCGGAAATACGTCCGCAGCGCATGCGCGTATTTGACAGTTGGAAATGCGAATACTGAAACGAATATTTTGCGGGAACGGACCGGAAACAAGGAACGGGAGCATAAAGCGGCGCGTTTCCTGCCGACAAGCGGTATGTATTACGACATCAGTTGGCTGAAAGTCAGGGTACGGTGGGACAATGCAGGGTACGCAGCGACATATCGTATAGTACTTTCCGAGGTACTTTCCGATATATCGAACCGTACCCAGGGTACCCTCCGATAGTACCCTGGGGGACATAGACCCTATCAGCCTTAGTTGTGTAATGAGTGGTCGTTAGTCGTAATGATCGATCGCATGGCACCGGCAGACACGCGCATACATTGTACCTACCTATCGCTGCTCTATGTCCCTCCGTGGTTCTGCTTGAAGCATACACGCAGCATCCCCGGTCAGCGCCAACAATCAGTAAAACACCACTAGCTCTGAGCTCCAAGTTACAAAATGTAGGCTTTAAACTCGAAGCTTCAAGTTAAAAACGCCGTGCTAATTCCAAACACCAAGCTCCGAGCCCCACAGTTCAACTCACAAACTTAAGAACTCAAAAGCTCCAAGTCACAAGATCCAGGCCCCAAACTCCGCGCTCCAAGTTCGATGCGCCAAGCTATGAACGCCATATATCATTCATTGCTCTGACCACCGACAGTGTAGCAGACGGTGCGGGGAACGGTCGGGTGCTATAGCTGGCCGCTAATACACAACAAAGAAACCACGCGCTGCTGCCACTGCGCCCCCAACTAAACCCGTGGTGCCGTCACGCGATGCCGTGTGCACTAACCACCAGGGTCGCTGCTGCGGGCTTCCCAAGGGCAGATGTGGAGCCTGTCACCTCAGCTTCCTTTAGCCGCATGCTAGACACACATACACGCATATAGGTCACACGAGCATCTGCGTGTCACTGCTGGCAGTCGTGTCTGTGCAGCAGCAAGCTCACACGAGGACAAAGCAATGATGACCGTGCCTAAACGCGCGCGCGCTGGGTTATATACCAGAGTAAGCAAAGCTCGAGCTCTAACTATATACACACATTGGGGAAGTAATCATCAGCTATTCATAGCCCGCCCAGCTACACGACGATGCCACGCGCGCGGGCTCTGGTAAGCGACGAGAAACGACCATGAACCTTGTTGCAAACTTTACAGCACGCGACGCATGCCAACAATATTGCTTCACGGCTGTATACCTCCCGATATCGACTTCCGCCCTCGTGGGGGTGGTCTCAGGTTTAGTGCACCGACCGGGCCTTGGCGGTCGGCAGGCTTCAGCAAGCGGGGCAAATCAGTAGGGTGATCATAATGGCATCCCAGCCATCTGTATGGTTTATCTGAAAGCTTTTGACACCGGTATTCTCTTCCACGTGTATCACGATCATCTTTTGAACACCACGACGGACCCTTCCCTGTCGATCACCACTACGTGTCGTCCCCTGTTGATCACCACCACGTGTCGTCCCCCGTTCTACACGTACCCCGTTCTGTTGATCACATCCACGTTCCTTCCCTGTTGATCACATCCACGTGTCCTGCTCTGCTGATCACCTCTATGCTCCCGCCCCGTTGATCACCAGTACGTTTTCTGATCTGCGGACCAGGGACCAGCTATAATCCGCCGACACTAGCTCGTTGCTCTCAGCGGTTGTGAATACCGGCGAACCACTGCGTCTTCCTCCTCTCTATATTAAGCTGCTCTTGCAGCGAACGGGTGCAAGCAGCACATGCTCCGTTGGCCGGTGTGATAATGCGGTAGCTGCTAGGCGCGTTGTGTAGATAAGCCGCTGCTTTATGGGGAGGAGGGGCAGCAGCAGCAACGACCGTACGCCCTTATATCATCACAGACGATACATGCACAGCTAGAGCCAGTGACAATCGACAGAAGCACGGCGTGAGCGGGAAGAGTGCGAAGCAGATAAGGGGGGGGGGAGCTGAGAGAGAGGGTGTGTGGAATGCCGATGGCGATAGCGTAGGAAGTAAATAGTGCTGAATCAGATGAAAGGCTGCCAGCTTGCGGAGGACTGCGAAGATGGAATGTAAGACGCGACTGGAAGTTGACAAGCTGAGGAAGTGGGGAAATAGGTGGAATATAAGGCCAGAATCTGATGTAGAATGTTGAAATGTATGAGGGTGGGAACAAAAGGGAGAACAAGCGGAAATTTGAAGCAGGGTACGAGCCAGTTGGTTGACGGACACAAACTGTGGGATGGCTGACCGTTAACATCACGGCACAAGCAATGACAAAACCACGAGCGTTATTTCAGAACAATCTTTATTTGGTATCATTGTATCTTACAATCTTCGTACATACGCTCCGCTTGGCGTCGCTATGATCGCCAATGCTTTAGTAATGCGCACCGGTGCTTATATCTTCGTGAAGAGTGAAAAATAAATAACAGTTAGGGCTGCCGAGTGTCTCACAGGCACATGCAATCTGAAAAAAACGGCGGTAGAGGGAGACACCGCCAAACACATCTGCATTTCATTATCCCAACATGTTTATTCACGATGCATCACGAACAATATCGGACTTCTAGGCTACAGCTCCCCACGTTGAACCATTGACGTACATAAAGAATCATCATATAACAGGGCCATCGTATTGTGCGGTATGTGTACTGGCTGCACTTGCTATCATATTTGTCTTCCTGATGAGAAACCTTAGTTGCAGGTCAGCAGAATCATGTAACTGAGACATCAACCTTATTGGATACGACCTGCACTTGCTGTCATATTAGATAACACACATACTAACCGACCACCTGTCAAGTGGAGTCCAAATCTGGCAGAATTTGTTAATTTATTTCAAATATCATAGTTTAAAAAACCACATGTCCTTCATCCCTGTTTGAACATGAAAAAACAAACAATTAGGTGACAGAAGCAATTTACTGAAATCTGCTTGTTGTCGTGTACCTGCATCAAACATACACCTGAATTTAGGGGGGAAAATTACTCGATCTAATCTAGCAAATCGCCCTTCGAGGCAACTGCTTTAGTGCTGCCTGCCAGATTGTGGGAAGAAATACAATTAATAACACTTGCTAAAACGAACGCTGGCCAAATTAAAATCAACTAGACATTATTCAGTTCTCAGTCACTGTTGGTGCAATTAATGACTGAAACTTATACCATATACAATTATGGCATTCACAATACCACACCAGGTAATCTCGGCATGGCAACATGCATGCACGCACACCTGCACACACGCACATACAATATACACACTCGCACGCAAACATATATGCACACACACGGCCTTGTGACACTGCTACAGTAAACTCTAGCTAAAAAATCGTACTGTAATGAATTGCTTCACCTTTATTTGATTTTATAGAAAAACAATTGACCTTTCATAATCAATATAGGTTATAGACCACACTGCAATTCACTTATAAATTGTGGAAACTGACCTGGATCTGCCTGATCCCCATCTCATTATCCCTTAGGACATCGTCGCTAAATCCAACAGCTAGTTCATCTATGTCCACGTCTGCATGCCAAAATGTTGCTTTTGTGGCACTTTGTTGCAATGCTGATTGGCTAGATGTTCATGTCAATCATACCAGCCTGATAGGTTAACTCAGTCATTCCAGCCAATTTTAAATGCAATACTGATTACAAGGTGGGCACTCAAGTTAATAGACAACCAGCAATAAAGAATAGGTTCTGCTTTATCAAATGAGACGTTTTTGCCTTGTTTCATGACTAGTGTGAAAGACCAAGGAGTTAGAACAAAAGTCGGGGGGGGGAGAAAGTGAATAAACACACTAAGCTTCGATATAAAAACCCCTGCACTTTACAACCTCCACGCATAACACTGTACCAGCATTATAAGTTCATTTCAAAAAAAGCTGAAAATGACAAAGCAGAGATAACGAGACTTCATAAACGTGTTAAAATGAACCTGTTTACATATGTATATTGTACATGTATGCACGGTTTAGTATGTGCAATCACATCAGAAAACAAAGCCCGCATCCACTCCCTCTACACGCTGAACAAGTGACAGAAATACGCACAAATTCAGAACAATATGCAGCAGTGACAGCAGCAACAGCAGATGAATACAAACACGTTGTGAGGAAAAATCAGACAACTCGTATTTACAATGCACACCCAAGTGGAGTGAGAAATGACAGATACACAGGTGCTTGGGCCAGGCTGCACGCTGCCGGCAAACACTGCATGACGAGATGGCAGCAGCAGCCCGAACGTGTGCAAGGTTTTACAAACACAAGCTGGTTCCAACCCTTGAGGTAATGCTGCAGAATGGTTTTGCCAGTGACGCAAGCCCCGCCTGAAAGACTTGAAGTTATACAGGAGGCAACGGCATCCAGGCTTGTGTGCAGGCAATGTCGGACACAAGACTACCTGTGCACACCCTCGCATTTAGATACGGTCATCACAACAGTCGCCATCTGGTGGCACCGTAAATGAGGCAGCCGACCACTCCGCTTAGCGGAATCCGCTTCACACACCCATGAGAATAGATTGTGCTGCCTAGTAATTGTCTGGCGCGCACACACGTCACACGTAGACACAGGGACGTTGGGATGGGATCCTACAGTCAATCATGGACAAGTAGCAGCCCGCGTAACGCAAACCACACGCTCTCCGCCTTGTTCGCTCGCTCTTTCTGTTGTGAGCCATCAACACACTGCTCACACTGGCGAGCAGGCCTCTCCTGTCCATCGCCGGATCATGTTTCCTACAGCCTTCCACTTGTGCAGCAGCACTTGCACAGAGCTCAACCTCACGAGTCAGCGGAGACACACACGGTTCAGCCTCCTATCTGCACAGCACCACTCGCAGCGAGCTCTCGCTCTTTCACACGAGTCATCGGCGGAGACGCGGGGCAGAACCACCGCTCGCTCCTTTGACAGAAGCAGCGGCGATCTGTCATTGTCGGCTAGCAGAGTGCGAACACGGGCTTCTCGAGTCAGTCCTGCATCTCTTCAGGGATGTCGTGCGGGTTGATGATGCCTGGCACGGTGAGCTGCACACGTCGCTTCTCCTCCTGCGCCTGCTGCAGTGCCACGTCCCGCTCCTCCAGGTAGAGGTCCGACAGATCCTCACCCGCAAACTCCTGCAACGCGTGACCCAACGGTGACAGTTAGTCGTGCAAATTATTTAGACACTCAATTTCAGCTGGTTCAATTAGTTAGTAGTTAGAATGCCTCGTCAGCAATACATGCTGTATAGTGTACACATAATATGATGTAGTTATAATAGTATCGCTACCTGCTATATCAATATTACTCACATAAAACACAACTGATTTAAACAATTTTCAGAACTCTATCAGAATCAAATAAGGTTTTGGCAAAACACAGCACAAGTTAACTCGGCTAACGAATCAATAATCAACAGAGCAGAAAAAGCCTCACCTTGATTTGCACCAAGAAATCTCGCAGGTGTTCCTTGAAGGCAGCTATGTTTAGATTCAAGTTAAACATTCCCTGCACAGTTATCTTGATCTGTGGACTGAATGTGAAAGTACGCATCACCATTTATGTTACTGTAGATTCTAATTCTCTAGCAATAACAGTCTCTTCCACAAAATGTTACACCTTTGTTAAAATTGCAAGTTACATGATTCCTGATAAACATTTAAAATGGCTTCTAAATCATCACCACCTGGGACCCATTGTCAGAAACAAAATTAGTCTTACCATTGACTTCCACTCATAACCGTTGACAAAAACATCGTATGGTTACGAGAACGAAAAATCCTCGGAAATTTCCTCCTAACATTACGAGAGCCCAGACCCTCTCGGAACTTTAATATTAAGATGAAAATAACACATTTATACTAAGAATTACAATTATAGTGATATTACATTTTATATGAATGAGTAAAATGTGTTTTTCTTGAAAAACACACCAAAAACATTAATCATCTACCGATCGTAAACCAAAACAAACATGATTTACAAATGGCGTATGGTCTTTGTTCTCATTTTAAATATTTTGATAAGCCACGACTCTCGCGTCTCGTGTTACAGTGTGAGAATCATGTCTTGTTGTGCCGAATAAATCCATGACCGCGTCGTTTTTCATCAATATTATTTATTTGTGGTTACCCATCATAATATGCATAAATTACTGTGATGTACACTAAATGTGTATGAATTTGAATTTTGCGATCGATTCTTATCCAATCAGCAGCCTTGTGACATCAAATTATGAAGTTTCTGTTATCCTAAGTTTTCTCATAGCTGCGATGCGTTTTTGTTAACGCTACTCTCGTAACATCAACATTAGTAGTAAGTGCTATCCTAGCATTAACATTAGCATTAACTTTACGATGTTTCTGACAACGGCTCCCTGGCGTATATATTTAAACACAAACTAGCAGTGTGTTCTAACAAATTCTCACAACACACGTTTCTCTCAATTTATATAACATCGTCATGGGAGTTGAAAATCGGGAGTGCTACTAAATGTGCACTAAAGACGATAATTTAATTAGAACACCGTAGCACATGGCATCTTCTCATAAACCAAAGCTACACAGCTGTACACAGCTACACACTGCACTAGCTACTCACTCAGTGAGGTGAGGGAAGGCTGCCTTCAGAAGGTTGGCGACGTACTGCTGAATGTACTCTACGTTGTTCTGCGACGTGTTACTTGTGTTCAGTGGTGTTGTCACTTTGCTGTTCTCGAGAATGCTGAACATGTAGGCCAATATCGTAGCCTGCATTGTCAGGCCTGTAACCGTAAAAACAGATGTTGACATTCTAACGACAGTCACATAGACAACACACAATCAGGGTGACCACTTTATCATTGAGAAACACTGAATGCTAAATGACCGTCCTGTAGCAACGTGCACACGCACCCAATACATAACCCATTCAGCATTATAACCGAGGACAAGCACAGGTAGGACAGGATGCAATACGTATGTGTGCGCGCAGCATTGATGGAGATAGATGGTGGGACGGTAAGGGAGAAGTAGGGTAGGAATCAGCATAAAGAATTTTTTTTCAAGAAACAGGGCCCATACAGACAAGTCAAGACAAAATTCAAGGAGTTTTCCAGGACATTTCAAGGACCTAATTTTTATTTTTCAAGCATTAAAATTCTAGCTTAACTTAATAAAATTCAGTGTTTTCAGACTTAGCACAGCTTGAAAAGATACATTACATGGAATAGAGGACATGAAAACTTCTGATTCAGAAAAAAACAGAGATTAACTGTGAAAAGTATTCATTATGATGAGGTTAAGGAGATTAAAAATATGCACATCTTATAAACTTTGCCCTGTATGCATCCATGCTTTCCCATCTGTGGTTATAAATACACAGCCCTCTAGCATTTCTAGCACCTCTAGCACGACTCATACTTGATAGTGATATGAATACGATTTCTACAAAACGCTTCACCACTCGTTCAATATGACAGACTGAATTCTTCAGACTAACACAACGTTACTGCACTAGAGCCTACATTATGCATGATTGTATGAAAACAATAATAAATGCAATGGTGCTGAACTCGCAGCCTCGCTGCTGCCCTGTAAGATTTGTAATAAAATGAACACAGACATATTTATTGCTTTATATTTCTTATTTTATAAATTCCATTAGTTTTGAGTACTTTCCCAGGGCAATAACAACTTTTCCAGGACAATTCCAGTATAAAACACAATATTTTAAAATTCAAGGAGTTTACAAGAACATCGTTCATACAGGACTGAATTTTTTTTTAAATTTCAATGACTTTTCAAGGACATTTTATCAGAAATTCAAAGACATTTTATCAGAACTTCAAGGACTTTTTATCGGAATTCATACACAGAACAAAACATACCTGGATTAATTTAATAACCCCATTCTTAATCACTGTCACCTCTAAAACTTACCTGGATCACATTAATAAACCCTTCTAAACACTGTCACTTCTACAACATACCTTCATTTACTGACTCATTTACTGACTTACTGTAATATGTGATCATCATTTAACTGTCTATCGTGTCTATCGTGTCTATAGCTTTTTAAGCTCATTTAACACAATTTTTATTGAGGTTTGCACATTATTGATGGTACAAAATTTCTTTTTATTACAGGCAAGGATTCTTTCTAAAAATTCAAGGACATTTTCATGAAATTCAAGGACTTTTCAAGCACAAAATCAACATTTACTAAATTCAAGGACATTTTCATGAAATTCAAGGACTTTTCAAGCACAAAATCAACGTTTACTAAATTCGAGTACTTTTCAAGGACTGTGCGAACCACGAAGGTATCAAATTCCAGGACATTTCCATTCCATGCCTGTGCAGACCGTGAGAAAACATTAAGACAAGATAATAAAAATGAGAAAAACACCGTGATAGAGGAGAGTAACCTTGCATGGTGGTTGTAACCTTGTTTCGGTCCACTCACTTATAGTACTTTCAGCCTAACGCTATGGTACGGGCAATGTGAGTGCAATGTGAGTGCAATGTGAGTGCAATGAATCCACCAAAGGATCACGGTGTCACGTACCTGCTGTGTGCGACGTGTCGGTGACGATGGAGAACATGTGCTGCAGGATATCAGTGTAGTAGGTCTGGTAGAAGCCCTGTGCAGCACCCTCACTCTGCTCAATATTCTGCAGCAGCTGGAAGAGAATCTGCAGGCCAATGTCGGCGACATTGCGCATTGTGTGCTTGAATGCCCAGATGATCGAGTCCAGCACCAGCTTAAACTGCACCGGTGATATACTCAGGAATGCTGCAATGAGAGAGAGAGAGTTCCCAGAGTAATGCCAATTATAATTGAGAAAACCTTGCATATATAACCAGGTGAGCTCTGTACTAAATACGTCAAAACAAAACAATAAGCCCCTGTGGCACCTGTGCAAATAAATATGATGCTCTATCTATACGAAGATCAAAGAGGTTCACTCCACTCCAGGAACACTTACCAAAGATAAAATCTGTGAATAAATTATTCCCCCGTAACAAGCAATGTAACCTATGCTGTTCTAGACAATATTCACCTCATCTCATGCCCATAACATGTCAACGTTTATTACCCGCAATAATATTTTATTATAAGCATGCTTGCTTACCAGGAAAACAATGAGAATTCACAGCTTGTAAGAGAAGAAAGAAATTGGTTCTATGCTCTGGAAACTCTTCAAAGTCCTGTGAAAACGGAAAATGAAGCAACATTAATGGGAAAATCCATACACCACATTACGTACTTTACATAAATGCATACTGGAATACAGCTAGCAATGTCACACACATACACTCACCTTATTAATCATCTCTAACGTACACTCAAATACAGCATCAAATATCTGTGGAATCTCACTGGTGATACAATTCTGAAATGTGAAAAAGAACAAACGTAAAACAAAGCCAGGCACTTTATCAGATGGTTTCTAAACCTTCACATCAAGAGACTGTCAATAAAAATGCAAAGACATTAATAATGACAGCTTTAAAACCGCACTATTTCACCGCAGTTGCTAACGATGTTGCTTGCGACTTATAACATGCACGTGCACATACCTCCAACTTGTTTACGATGGTTGCCATGGTGCTCAGCACCTCGGGCTCGCGTGCCGCTGGCACATTGCGCTGGTAATCGTTAAGTACTGCATCTAACAGAGGCGGGATGAAGTTGTCACAAACCTGTAGATGAATATACAGACACACATTCGGCAAGGCTACGAAGTCACCACTGTCACAGCATTCACATTGTGGTGAAAAATTACACTGATTAACGTTTTAATTATTACAAACATTCAAATGACTATAGAAAAGTACTAATGAACATTGAGTGAGAGGTAACCACTACATAATAATAAAAAACCTTCAGCAGAAATACATCTCAGTACCTATTAGAATGTTGCTTACAATAACTAGGAGTATACATTTAGCATACGAGAACATACATATCATCTCTGCTGGCACCAACAACCAACAGTGTATTAGTGTAATACGTCCCAGAATTAATGTTAGACGATACGGGTTGTACATTAAACTAACTATTCCAAGATTTTTGCTCAGAAAAACTAAATATAGCTCAATATAGTCTCACCTGACTGGAAATATCACTGATTACACCAACATTAAAAATACTAAGATTTTATGCAGTTATAGCATAGAAAAATGGATTTCACCACATCGTAACAGCAATAAATTTTATCGTATGCCGATAATGCCTAATGGCAGAATTGGTAAACTTGTATTTGTGTCGGTGATGAATTGAAAACAAGTGTATGCCTGTACTATGTCTACGGCAGATAAGCGGTGGCGCCACAAGCTAATCCATACTTCATATTAGTTCAAGATGACAGAAAACGAATGTTTACAATAACGATTAGTTCGAAACTGGCAGTTTTCGGTGAATACGAAGGTTCTAAGACATTTTATTGTTACTCTAGACAATTGCTGTTACTCAAGCAATAACGGTAGGTGTCATGAAAGTGGTGAAAACACTGGAAAACTCTCGCAATAGTTACTTTAAATGTAAAACGTATCTCCTGAGTTTTCCAGGCCTTGGGAGGTCTACTTTCCAAGACTGCGATATTTAAACTGAGCACAATGCTGTTTCATGTACCCTTCAACCAATGATTAGTAACAAACATGCATGATGGCAATTTTATTGCCTCTCAGACAATGATAATCTTCCCAGGACTGAACACAGTAATGACATAGTTTCTAAAACGGGATCTGCATAAACCTTGTATAATGATTTAAAAGCATCTCCCTGTGTGTGACTGCATACATCACCTGCCTAAATCTAGATGCACACATTACCTGTGCCCGCATCCAAGGAGCTAAATATAACAAGGAGAGGAAGCGCCGCCATATCTGGCCCAAATTTGGGTTCGGCAGAGACCCTAGAACAGATTAGTGTTCTATTGTCTCTGGGTTCGGTCTGCACAGCCGTTTCAGATGATTATGATCCATAGATGGCGCCCTTGAGGCGAAAAGCGCCCAGCCAATCCGCTTCCTCTCCTTGTTATATTTAGCTTCTTGCCCGCATCTAGCTTGCACTCACCATCTGTGGGTCATTGGAGCGGCTAACCCAGCCTGAGATAAGCTTTAACGTCTCCTTTTTGACGGTGCGCATGGCACGGATGAGTGGCTGCTTCATCACCTGCTCACCGTTGAGTGTGATAGCCGCACTGATATTCTCAGACAGCACCTTGTACACGTTCAGCATGTCGAGGTAGATGCGACCCAGCTGCACGCAAGAAACACACAAATCAGCTAATGCCCGGCGCGCAGTCACCTTGCACGGTTGTTTTTCAAGAGCTGGCACAATAGCAAGGCAACAGAAAAACACGTTCGGAAACACAACGTTAGCTTACGCCTACCTGCACGACGAACGGGTGGCCGAGGGCCTTGCAGGCGCGCACGTTGGTCTTGAGGATGTTGCCGAGCTGCTTGACGGCATCCTCGTCCTTCAGCACCTCCACGTTCTTCGACGCCTGCGTGATGATGCCGTCCCACGCTTGGTTCGGCAATTGCATGTATTTCTCTATGAGCCGTTCCTGAGCCACGGCATCCGTCTGCGCGCTGATCATGTACCCTGTGTAAACACGGTACAGCAATAGTTTCATTCACTCTGCATATCAATCTCTTTCTACTATTGTTCTGCACTTTTAAAGCGCTAACATAAACAGGACACAAATAGTTTCAATGCACATGATAACGGATTAAACAATTTTGGGTTCAATGCTTAATAGTAAGGTTATGTCTATCCTTGAAACAATTTTGCTTCAATAATAGATTTATTAACACCCTAACAGTTAAGAAATAATAGTATTATTATAATACGCTTTTGAAATTAGCAAACAGGTGTCACCCTTCTTCATTATATTATCTAACACGTAGGCCTATATTTTAGAAGTCCATTTACGATTTCACACACATTCCCTGGAAAATAATTAATAAAATTAATAAAATACAAATTATGTCAGTATGTAGAGGGAAAGATAAACCACACACACAAATACCACATCAAACTCTCCATGGTTCAACACACAGCAATATATAACATATGGACAAAACAAGCATACAAGTTACATTACCGACAGCTTCGTAGAACGTGTGAACTTGCTGTGGCTGAAGATCACAAATGATGGTACTGATCTGGTTGAGAATCTCTTCAATGAATGGCATGATTTCTCCTACTTGTACCTGTGGTGTCAATTCAAGATTCACCACACATTAGCATCTTTGCATATTGACATTCTCTTCAATGTGTTTAGTTCAAGCAAGCTTTTCAATATATCAAGTTTAGAAGTTTTATAAAGTTACTTTTAAGAAATAGAACCTTTGGTAAATTTACATTTTGTATTACGAACACTATTAATGTGCATAATACAATTATTTTTTTGAGCATTTCCTTTATTCAAATACCTCTAATGTCTAACATATTGTAAAAGTAGTGGAAAAATCAGTTAATAATGCCCACACTAAAGTTTTGCAACTCAGGACTCTGGAGTCATAGCAATGGACGACAATTTATTACATTTAGTTTGTTTGGCAACCTAGGCAAATGCACACTAGAATAAAATAAATAAATCTCCCTAAATGGCCGTGTACTCAAACACTTGCTGCCACAGTTTCTGGTAATGTAAGATCAACTTTTAGCATCCATTATGAATACTGAACATGAGGGAGTTACCATTTAACTTCCGAAAAAAAGATTACCACAAGAATTTTAAGAGATAAAATAATAAGTCAAGCCAAAAACCCATAATTCATCATATATAGTAAAGAAAGAAAACATTTCACACAGATTGACGTGACCTAGTAACATGCAAGAGGGCCACCTGGCCGATTCTCTTGACATAACCATTAAAGCAGCATATGGCTTTTAAAGGTAATGGCAGTCTCTCATGAGCTCAGTTTACTGGCCGAGGGATGGAAGTCTAAAGCAAGCCTTGCAATGCTCACCTGTACAAAATGTCGCCGACACTTCTGGGCAATCTTGATGAATGTGTCGCAGGCCATGTCTTGTACACCGTCGTGAGTTTCTGAAACGGCAGAACACATGGATGATTTCGAAACGAACGCTAGTACAACTCAAACAAATTTCATCATGTAGCAAACTATTAATCAAGTTATGGTTTAAAGATTTCGTATGAATTAAAATTTAACATCAAAAACACTACGTTGAAACACTATTCATAATTTAGTAGCTACTTGGTTTCAGAGTGCAACGTAAGTGTCTGAACTTACTGCAGAAATATGCACCACACATGCGTAAGTGTGCACGATCTGAGTGTACCAAAGTAGTACATCAGGAAGCACCACGTGGGCCCTCCACCTACATACCTAAACGTACTACGTGTATTTTCCATGTGACCAGTGCACACATGCAGCCAGTAAGGAAAAATGCACCATGCATGGAACCCAATCAAAGTGCCTGAACGTAGTGTTAAAGTACGCACCATGCATGAACTCGAACAATTTGTTCACGACTGTTTTCAAGAACTTCCAGTGAGCGCGCAGGAAGCGTGGGTACTGGCCCACGACGTACATGATGTTAGACGCAATGATAGCCTTGTTGTCCTTGCCGCGCTTTTGCTCACACAGCCCAAGAAGATCCTGCAAGATAAACCACGAGCCTTCAGTACACCTCAGCCAGACTAATATTACCAAATGTGATTAACACCAATACAACAAAATACATCATCAACTCGTGTTAAACTCTAAACTAAACAATAAACGTATTTATTAAACTCCATGACCAAATTTGATTAATAGCTATATAAACAAATGGATAAACCACGACTCCAAGTACAACACATGCCATGTGAATGTTTCCTACTATGATTAGAACACACTACACATAGTTAATGTTAAATACGGTATAGCATTGATTAAAATCCTACGATCAAATGTGAATGATGAATATTATACCTAGGAAACTAGGGTAATTTTATTCATTTGTTAGTCAGTCAGACTGTGTCTGATACCTTGATTACGGTGACTAGGAACCTCTTTTCATCTTCCTCGTGCATGGCACCACTGATAGACCCAATGGCCCAACACAACTGTAAACACAAACCAGAAGTGTTTATGTTTTAAGTAAGGTACACACGAAATTATCGACATATAGATAAACATACAAGTGTATAAAATACAGGCGGTAATGGTTACTTCTGTATGAGAATGTGTGAGATCTTATCAACCATTATTCAGGTACAGTTAAAACTGTGATGGCACCTCTATAGAACAAACGCATGTCTAAAAAGAACACTTGGCGTTTCCTCCAAGTAGCAAATTCTACAGTAAAATCACCTCTATAAAATGGCTGCACGCCTAGAATCCAACCACATCAACATGCAGTGGCATAAAATGCAGATGCTACACTCACAATTATACTCGGGACAAGTAAAAAAGGATCTTACCGTGTTCAGATTCTTCCACGACCATTCCGTCCCATTCACTTGTGCATGTAGTTTCTCTGTCATGATACGCTCCGTGTCTGGGTAGTCCAGATGCGTCAGGTACACTGCAAATGGTAAGAATCCAGTCAGATAGTCAGATAATGTATTCGACATATTGCACATTAGACACGCCATGACCAACATCAGACAGACCATACACTCTGTATATGATACTTCCCAAAATGCATTTAATATATTGACAGTACTCAGATCTAAGCACCAATTACTGGATTTGTGACGTCGTGTTTATTTTGATAATGGTGGTTTTCACGAAAGAACCTACCTGTAAATAGGCTCATCATATCATGTAGGGTTCTTTGTTCCTGACAATGCCTTACCAATAATCAAAATGACATGATTGCTAAGCAATCTCATTTTAAATTTGTGATTTTAGCTAACCAATATTTCTAATTGTTGTAATATACTTGTCTCCTTTTTAAGTTACTGCGTTGAAACATGGGACGCTGCTGACTGACCGGCAGTAGACCGGGGGTAGCGGGAAAACACACCTAGCGTTTCTCTCATGTTCTTGTACATGTTAATTGCATCAGTGTCCTTCATGAACTCACGAACTACCTCGCCCTGCTCATTCTCCACGACCAGAACCTCCTCCGGTTTCGCCATGCGACCCACCATGATCAGCCGCACCTGAAGACAAGCGAGTAGACGTGGTTAGTTCCCCTCGAGCCGCGACACAAGCTCAAAACTGGATTTACATTGCCGATTTTTAGTCACGAAGAAGCTGTCGGTAGCCGAGCTAGCATCACAACCTGAACATGGGCCACACTCAAAATGTTAAGAACTGCAGCGCACCTTAGACAGCATGGGGTTGTAGAGAGTTCTTCGCTGCGGAGTCTCTGTTTTTGCTTGGCCTAGCAGAAGAGGCGACGTTGACGCTGTGAAGGGACTCTCTCTGTACAGCTCAGCTGCCAGCGAGTTCCAGTATTCAAGACAAATCTTGAATATCTCTGTCTCCTCCACTTCCGAGATCATAACGAGATAGTGAAGTGCCTGTTAAGGAATCATTGCCTATTAATTGTTACACACATGGACCTTCTGACAGCACATACTAGAACACTTTCAAGATGAACCCGAACAACAAAAGATTCCAGACATCTGCCAACACCAAGACTTCTTCTCCTTTCTGTGCTAGAGTGAGTGTAAATCTTCTGTGTGTGCTCACCGAGTGTAGGGAGTCTGAAAGCTCTGGCTGCTTTTCAATTAGCTGCCCATGCTCCTTGAGAAAGGTGCAGAAAAATAGACTCAAGTTCTGGATAAACTTTTGCTCATCATCCTGCCCATTAGCATATGCCTCCTTGATGTTAGTATGTAGTGGCAGCATCTGAAAATACAGCCACAGATGCACCAATTACTCACACATATACATATAATCAAGAGCTAATAATACCTAGAGTGTACAACGGAAAAACGGGAAAATAGTGCTATTTCACGACTACATTATTCTACTTTGCCTGCGAGTCTAGAATAATTTCATGGTATTGCATTAAGCAGAATTCCTTGCTCTCTACAACAAGACCAACCGCTTGTCAATACGATACTCCTAGGCTGAGATATCGGCTCCTAAACCTCCCCTCCCACATGCCTTACGCCGCTTTGAATCCACATCATTCAGCAACCTACACGCGTCTAAGCATTGCTTCGTGAAAGTTCGGTTTTTCAGCGATAAATTTATGAATGAACGGTGCTTCGCCTATGCCTTTATCTTCCATTATCTTTCCTAGCACGGCTAATGCCCGTCATGATGGAGCCGGCCCCATCAAGTTTTTACAACGCAGCTCAGTTACTCAGTGTAGTAAGAGTACCAAATTTGGGCATGTGACATCAATTATCAGCGCTCCAAGCGGTGACGGAAACCGATAGCCAAAATGCTTAGACGCATGGAGGTTGCTGAATGATGTGGATTCAAAGCGGCGTAAGGCATGTGGGAGGGGAGGTTTAGGAGCCGATATCTCAGCCTAGGAGTATCAAATTGACAAGCGGTTGGTCTTGTTGTAGAGAGCAAGGAATTCTGCTTAATGCAATACCATGAAATTATTCTAGACTCGCAGGCAAAGTAGAATAATGTAGTCGTGAAATAGCACTATTTTCCCGTTTTCCGTTGTACACTCTAGGTATTATTAGCTCTTGATATAATACACATGAGCATAAAAGCTCCCATGCAAACCTGTTCCCATCTTTCACCAACGCACGCACGCACGCACACACACAACATTGCAAGCAATTAAATACCAGACACATGTACACAATGCACGTTCACCTAACATCACAAGCCTCAGCCCAAGTATCAGTGACACACAGCTATATTCTAGTGAAGATCGGTGATCACTTACCTCTCGCAACCTCCCGGTTGCGAGGCTGAAGAGGAGCAAAAACTGCTCGTCATACTGGGAGACGTTCACTGAAGCTGAAGACGAGATAGAAGATGCAACAAATTAGCATGCGGTAGCACAGCACGCACACTGTAATTGTTAGCTAACCTGCTTCACATATCACTAGTGCATTGTGAAGAATAGACCTCGTCAATTACTAAATGCCGGCAACCAAAAACCACTCTCCTGGAGTTGATGAAGTGAGCCAGTTTTGGTAGCCTGCACATGCCTTCTGACAGTACAACGTACAACTGGGGAGTTTTATTTCATAATTGCACTTTCTGTGAGTTTTTACCAGATTTAGTGAGCACCTGATAATGAACTGGTACAGCGTAGAAAAGGTTGAGAGAATGGGAAGAGCTAGTGAGAAGCACACTTTGTCGTAACTATGTGCATAGGCAACTGTGCTTCCCTCTTGCAAACTATGGTATGTAGGCTTTACCCACATTGCAAATGCCAAGGTCTGTTAAAGCAATCCATAAAATTCTGACTACACACAAGTAGTTTATGATTGAAGCATAGCAAACTTGTATAAACGTAAATACGAAGACAACAATGTTTGACAGATTTATATACGTACCAATTTCTGTCAGACACTTCAATGTGACATTTCTAAACATTGGTACATCTAAAAACTGGAACAAAAAAGAAGGCTTAGTGACTGTCTCCCTAAGAGAGAGTATCAGTATACAGTGAAACACAAAAACCATAAAACTGCAAAACTAAAACTTCCTTTACCAATCTACACGAAAAACTTCCACCCTCATTGGCCCAGCGGGCCTGTAGAAATGTATAATTCACTGGCCCACACTAGGTTTTACAGGACCTAGGTTTTACCCGAACCGGACCGGAAACCGGAAGTTGTTGCGACCTCTAGCGGCGACAAACACGCATGGTGTTGACTAGTTACTTCCCCTACTTAAGATCGAGAATATGATGCCATATCGGTAAATATCGTTAAATTTTCATACAAAATATTGGGAATTTCAGTAAATTTTCAGACTGATCATCACATAAAGAAGCTGAAATATCATTAATAGACCATTTATTCATTTTTCCCCCACTGGCCCATCGGGCTTGTTCATTTACCAGTTTCATTGGCCCACGGAAAATTTACTGGCCTCGGATAACGGGCCAGTGGTTAATTTCGCAGACTGCTTTACATATTTATACCATACCGTGTATTCGCTACTGACCATTTTGTCATCACAAATTAGGTCTACATTGACAAATATTCAAGAAAGTTTCAGTTAAATCATGAGAATCAAACAAATATAGAATTATCTAAAATATCAGTACTAACATTCCGTTAACCTGATTAGCACATGGATACTATTTCCACGAAACCTATTTCACATCATATGTCTAGCAATCTGACATTGGCAATGCTACCAGTTTAAATAAAAAGTTCCTCACTAAAAAAATGCCACCTCACCTTATATATTAATGTTGAAATAAGTTTAGTCTCGAATATGTAGCCCAGCGGAATCCAGTTGAGAAAGCGCAACAGTGTTTCCAAGGTGGCTGCCACAAGAGGTGCGTTCTGTGAATTCTCCTGCAAGGCCATTAGAATCAACACTCTGCTTTACGGTGTCCACTCTTAAAACATTCTAAGACATACGATGACAGTCTTACGACGACGTTTACTGAAAATTAGCAAGTGACCTCTTATTGAAAACATACATCCTACAATAATCAAACACAACATGTTTGATAGATCTCTGCTCATGCAGGATGTTTTCACTAAGTTTGTTGGGCGAAGACGCACATTTGCATTATACAGTGAGGATAAGCCACAAATCTGATACATTTTTAATGCTGCCACAACTAACCATATAAAAATTTATAGTATTCTACCTCACTCGAAAGCCAACTGGCAACACTCACCATTATTCAATACTATACTGTTATGTTTGGACCAAACATTTACTTAGCCTAGTATTAAACTTAGAAATCTATCTGCTGGTATGGTATTCTAATGTGTCTATTCTAATCTTTGATGAGTACTGCTAGCCAACAAGAGTAGGGACAAGAGTCAAGAGTAACAGCAATGCTACACAGATATGCCCAGGTGGTACGTACCATTACAAACTGACAAAGCTGAAAGATTTGCGAGAACTCTGAACACATAGTATCCTTTAGGTGTTTTGCTTTGATCTGTGTCATCTGCCCACTAGAGAAGTCAAACACTTCCTCACTGAAATGACAATATCAGACTTATAGACAGCAGCAGTAGCCTTATAATGCAAACAATAAATCCTGTCTGTATAGACCAGGGTTCGAATTTTGGCTGAAAATCAGAAAGTTGGTGGTCATGCACAAAAGTTGGTGGTCCGCTTATTTACTAGCAGTGATAAACAAAATAGTATACAAAAATAACCATTGGCATTAACAGCATACATGTAACTTAGAGTTGGTCAAATAATATATCTCAAGCTCTAGGAATGTCGGGGGAGCTTGTGGGAAAGGTTTTACTTTCGTTTTTCTCCTCCCCAGTCCACGGTACCCCCATGATAGATCAAAGTTACAAGTGCCTATAGAATCTTGATACAGTTTACATTGCTTCTAGATATCTAACTGAATAAAAATAGCCCACTTTTGACGTAAAGAAAAGTGACGAATTCAGTTCTTGATTACGTGCGTGTCAGGTATCACTGGTCGTGCCCTCACTCCCCACGATAACCCCTGCGACATATGAACTTATTGTTCTGCGGTCACAAAAACACTGGGGTCATGCCGCAATCGATTTCTTAGACTGTCACGAGGTTTTGTTCGTGTGGCGAATCATGCGTTGAGGGAGTTCATGCCCTCGGCTCTAGATGTTTTGGATACCCCATCTACGCTCAGGAACGGAGCATATTAGAATGCGCTCCCATTTACAAGTCTGTCTAAACAGCCGTTGCGATAACCGTAGTATTTCAGCGTAATATGAGGGAAAAAAGTGCCGGTCAGGAGGACTGGCAGTTTCGTAGAGATGGAGGTCAAAGCCATTAGAAAAATTTTTTTTTTATGTTTTAAAACTAACGACTACAGTTTGATTACAACGACGGTGGCGCCACTCAAAGCGCACGATCTGATTTGTTGAAGTTGCGCAAAACCACTTTCCAGCCAAGGGCTACAGACCGAGGGTGTTTCTTATTTATTCATTTAAAAGCAAAAGGATTGTAATATCTTATAAACGACATATAGTTTCAGTTATAATATGGATAAATTTGCCCTAAAATGAATATCGTTCGGTTAAATAGCATTTAGGTATAAATATAATTGCACTTTTGTGATTAGCACTCCAGGGTTCATAGTAGTAAGACACATGTTGAAATAAGGACTTATAAGACCCTTTCTGGAGGCCAAAATAAGACTTTTTTACGCGATTTCTGATAGATCACCGACTATTAAAGTACACTAATAATATTTATATACACAATTGCACAGCAGATTTAATTATTCCGTATTATATATACAACAATTCTTACTGTAAGTCGAGAACAGTTTATAAAACAATTTATATAAAATATTGTAGGTTGCAAAAAATAAGGACTATTAAGTACTTTTCTAAGATTTCACCAAAAATAAGTACTAATAAGGGCCCTTATTTTATTTTTGGCAAAATAAGTACTTATAAGACTTTGGAAGACCCGCTACGAACCCTGCACTCGGTCTGTAACGTACAAAATGAATGGTCAAAGACGCAACTGTTTCGGGGTGGCAGCACGGTCGCGGGTGTCATGGCGCCGTTCAAATTTCGTAGCGTTGATGTGTAATTAATTATAACAATTAAATTAGGTATCTGGTAACAAATACGTGTGGGTATAGACGATTTGTTATACAGTAAGTACAGTTGTATGCAGTAAAATCATAGAGGCTACTGTCCCTTTAAGGATTTAACCATGAACAATGTTGTTATTAAAGATACTTAAAATGTTAAACATCACATCACTTCACTAATCTTTCACTAATATTTCCAATAAAGTGATGTATTACTCTAATAATGATCCTATCATTAATCTGTTTGTATAAACAATAATCACACAAAATTTTTACAGGTTGACAATCCCTCACTGACAGCAACTGATAACAAACCTCAGCAGCTTGAGAATGACCATGTTGTTCTGACAGAGTGACTCATTCGTTCGACTCGCTCCCACGATGTCACTAATAAACGAAGGCCAGTTCCGCGGCCACTCATGTTTCAGGATCTGAAAAATGATTGCATGACATGAGGGCACATAAGGAAAACAATCACTGGTGAACACTCGTATGTAGAGAGGGTCTCCACCACAGAACTGAAGATGATCGAAATAAATCGAACATGATGTAACTACAATAGCAAGTTGTGTAGCGAACACACCATGATGTATACATGCCAAGAATGTGCAAGTTAACACAAGTTAAGCAACTTTTTTGAATACCTGAATAAGTATCATGTTGAGTTTGTTCAGGTAGACCTTTTCAGATTCCAACGTTGCTGGTTCCGAAGAAGTCTTAATGATGAGTCCCACTGTGTATTTCTTTATACCTGAAAATGCACAAATAAATTAGAGCATTTTCCACCTCCTCGTAAATCCACATAAACCCACACTTCTAAAAAGTCAATTTTTTGTTGTAAGCAGACTTTCATTCCCACATTCCCTTTCTCAAATGAATGCAAATCTTGTCATTATAAAATGTAAGGCAATAAAAGCACACGACTATTGACACATTCCAACAGAAAAGACACTGCAGTCGATGACTACAAACCTTCACACTGGTTGCGAGGCAGCACCTTCCACCGTGTCTTAATGACGTTTTCCAGGATCTGCAGAGCATAGTACTTTGTCTGCTGGCTTGACGAGAACTCAAGGATCGTGTCGACGCGCGTCCATGCATCCGGATGCTCCTTAAGGTGGGTTAACACCTCCTGAGCTATCTTTTGCTGGATGGGATAAAAAGGTTTACTATACTTCCTATCACTAAATTATTTACATTACATTCTTGTGATTAATTGTGAACATTCTTTTACATTAAAAGTAGCTGAAAGAATTTGGAACTAGCTGACAGGATGTACGACTAATACCGTCGATAAGTCGAGCTGCATCTATTGCCGTGAAAAGTAATTAGAAGCTATGCCTACCATATTACCCTCTCCTGTGTACATGAAGCCAACCACATTATCAAGCATGTTAATATCCAACTTCTTTGTGAAGTCCAGGATAGTGGATGCTTGTTCTAACGTGAGTGTCATTGTGTCACCGTTGGCTTGTATTATCCTACAAGAAAACAAAAACTAACTTATTTTCCGTAGAGACATTGTGCAATAATTTCCCAATGATGGAAAGGCTCAATTTTGCATTCTAGCAAAAACAAATGTTAAAGATACTGTACGACTAACAAGGACATTTTGTTAATGATACCACAAATGTAACTGATATAAGGTATGGTATTTGTTAGTTACAAGTGTGACATTTGTAGCTACAGACAGATGTGCGACACAGCTCATACATTCGTTTAGAGTGAATGTTTTCATAAACCATCAATAAACACACGATTATCCAAGTTCCTGAAAATACATGGTATCCGTGATAGTGCAATTCACCGAGACAATAAAAAATGGTTATATTCCTGAAGTTTAATACAAATGATTGGATTTAAGCTTTCATTACTAACCCAGGGTTCTTCAAGCTATTAAATTATAGCATGGGGGTGCTACTCAAATTGGGATGTCGAAGCTGGGGGTCAAAGGTCAAAGGTCAAGAGGTGTAAAAGAAGGGGGAACATTCACTCCTTAACTTAAGGTATAGGGAGGAAATGCAGAATTGCGGCACAAATCTAAACGGCTCGACCTAGGCTCGTGATAGTTGGTGTATAGCATCATGGTAGGAAAAGCCATCGCTGTGCCGAAATTGGAGGTCACAGGTAGTGATGTCCCGATGATCGATTATAATCGA